CCCACCCGCGACACACCCGCGACACACCTCGCGACCCATCCGCGACACACCCGCGACCCACCCGCGACCCACCGGCGACCCACCCGCGACCGGCCCGCGACGCACCTGTGACCCATCCGCGACCCACCCGTGACGCACCAGCGACCCACGCGCGACCAATCCGCGACCACAACGCTACCCACCCGCGACCCATTCGCGACACACCCCGCGCCAGCCCCATCAGTCTTATCCGCAAGTGCGGCCGCTATATAACTATTCCGTAAGTGTTCGTAAATGTGTTTTCCGAGGCCTTTGGCATGCATTAGCCTTGCGACTGGCCGAACCCTCTGCAGTTGACTGCAACGCAGGGTGCGTCCCATCTGATTTATGCTATGCGCCACGGAACGGAGTGCGCGATGCGAGCCCCATTGGAGCCTTTGTTGGAGTTCCTTGCGGGGCGCTATTCGCGTGCGGGGTGCGCCGAAACGGGCGGCGGGGCGCATGTGAACCCTCCTACTGGGGCCGTAGGTCGAGCTCCTCTTTGGGCACGCTGTGCGTGAGGGGTGCGCCGAACTGGCAGGGTGGGGGCTCGTGCGGGTCCATCCATTGGGGCCGCAGGTGACGTTCCTTGCGGGGCGCATGCAAACCCTCCCACTGTTGCCGCAGGTGTAGCTCCTCGATGGGGACGCTCTGTGTGATGGGTGCGCCGAGATGGTCGGGTGGGGCCCTGTGCGAACCCATCCGCTAGGGCCGTAGGTGGGGCACGCTCCGTGTGAGGGGTGCGCCTGAATGCTGGGGACCTGTGCGAATCCGTCCACTGGGGCCGGGGGTGGAGTTCTCTGCGGGGTACGATTCGCGTGAGGGGTTCGCCGAAACGGGCGGCGGGGCGCATGTAATCCCTCCCACTGGGGGTGGAGCTCCGTGCGTGGGGCACGCTGTGCGTGAGGGGTGCACCGAAATGGTCGGGTGGGAGCTCGTGCGGGTCCATCCCTTGGGGCCGCAGGTGACGTTCCTTGCGGGGCGGGCGGCGGGCGGAGCGCATGCAAGCCCTCCCATTGGGGCCGCAGGTGTGGCTCCGCGAGGGGCACGCTGCGCGTGATTGGTGCGTCGAAGTGGTCGGGTGGGGGTTCGCGCAATCCCTCCCTCTGGGGCCATAGGTGGAGCCCCCTGTGAAGGCACGAGCCAAGTGAGGGGTGCTCCCAGTTGGGCACGGTCTGTGTGATGAAGATGTCGGAATGGGCGGGGTGACGCATGCAAATTGCCCCAGCGGGGTCGTAGGTCGAGCTCCATGTAAGGTGCCAGACGTGTGCGAGGTTTGCGCCGACCACTGTGGCCGTAAGTGGTGCTCCCTGAGGGGGGCGAAACGTTCTAGGGGTTTGCCGAAATGGTCGGGGGGACGCCTGGGGCCGTAGGTGGAGTCCCTAAGGGACACGAGACGCGTGAGGGGTGTCCCCAAAAAGGCCGGGGAGGGGCGCATACAACTGATCCCAAAGACCGTAGGTGGAGCCACCCGTTGACACGAAACTTGCGGGGCGTATGCCGAAATGCCGAATGGGGGTAGATCCCGAAGTTCGGATGCAACTCCTGGGAGATCGAACCCATCATCGGCGCCGGTCTATCCGCGGTCGAGAACCGCCCTAATCCGGCACCATCCCGTGCAATCCGGCTTGTAATCCCGTTGAATCCCGTTTTCTCCGGCGGAATGCCAGGATAAATCCAAATTAAAACGTGCATGTTGACCCCCTAATCTGTCTTAGTAGCTTTTCATCGTTCTCTCGAAGACCTCCCTGGAATTGTCTCCAAACCGAAGGGGAACGAGACACGTGATGGGCGTGCCGAAACAGGCATTCGGCAGGGATAGCCAGGTGGAGAAGCAGGGAGGATATTTGCGGCTGCAGATTCAAAACGAGGTCCAGTCAGGAGGGTTGGGAAATTTGCTGAGTCCGAGGCCGGGAATTCTTCACATTCACTGCTGGGAAACCGACCTTCGTGGAAATCGGGAGGCGGCGTACACGACAGATTCGGGCCCCCAGGGGTCCAACACATCTATGTCCACCATCCCCCCTGGGGTCCTGAGAATTCGGTTCTCCAGCAAGAGAACCTACACAACTCAGGAGGGGAAAACACACACAGACACAATGAATGGTCGGCTCCCAGGAAAACACGGAAAAATACGGGAGATGGGGGGGAAGCGAACATCCAGAAAATATGGGAAAATATAGGGAATCCTCGGATTCGTGTCTATTTACTTGTGTCCCAGGGCCCCTTCAACAGCCCTGAACTCGCGCGCGGAGGTCGGCCCGTGCGAAGTTCGCGGGCCAGCGCTGAACACCCCTCCCAGCACTCTTGGGCTTAAGTCGGGCATGTCCCTCTACAGGGGGAATATCCAAAAACAGGCGAAACAATTATTTGGGGGACGATTTGTTTAACTATGTTCGACAATGCTTGCTTGTCCTTTAACGATGTTTCACTTTCTTACAAAATCCGCCTGCAGGAGGGCGTGCCCGACGTAAGGCCAGCG